GGGAGTTTGCCATGGTCTTCCTCTGAGGCTGAGAGAGTGTGACTCCTAACCCAACACTCAAACCCCTATACCATGCTGGCTATATTCGAATGACAGATGGTTTTTCAGGCAATTCCTGGTGACAGCTGCAGCATTTTATTCTCACCTTTAAGTGAGTTTTCTTTTTATTTCCAAGATATATAAAAATATTTGTTTTTCTTTTTCAAAAGAGTTATAGTACCTCCATTTTGCATTTTGCATTATAACTCTTCTGAAAAATTAAATATTACATTAAGAGCTGCTTTGGGTCCCTTCATGGGAGAAGAATTGGAAAATAAGTAAATAAAATTCAGAGAGGAGTAAATTACAATCCCAAGACATTGCAGAAACAGACCAAAACAAAGGAAGAAGCGAACACAGGGGCAACAGCAACCTGCAAAATAATGGAGTTATATTGTGAGAATTCCTGCTTCTTTCAACCAATGTGGGAGACAGATGATTTTTATTTAAAATCAATGCATATTAAACATTTGAGCTGTGATTTAGCTGCCTTTTCCTGCACAGAGCCATCTACAAAGGCCTAATTCCAATTCACAAAGGGCTAATTCCAAGACGATATGTAACTATGAATCTTCCTCTTAAAAACATTTTAAATCCAATTTCTATTTAATTCAGTATTCGGCCAGCAATTAATTTGAGCAAGTCATATTCTTCCAGTCTCAAAGGAAGGCAAAGATTATATAGTGGTATATAATGGTAATGATAATAATGCAAATGTTTTGATAAAATAATGGTATAGTACAAATGAATTGGTGCAAAACAACTAAAGAAAAAATGCCTCGCCTTGCATGCTTCTCTCATCTATTTTATATAACTCTGTTTTGTAATTACTTTCTACTGAAGTTATTATTTCACCTTTTTATTGTTTATGGATGTTTGATGCACAATAAAAATAACAGTTGGAAGGCAATAGCAAACCGCAACAGAAAATAATTCCTAAGAAAACCCAAGGAGAGGACTGCCATATGTCCCTATATTGGGAGAAAGGCAAAATATAAGTAAATAATAATAATAATAATTCAATAAGGACTAGCAACCTAACCAAGATTATCCATCACTGGGTATTCATACATGAGGCAATGCTATCTGTCCTTTGGCTGGCAAATTAAAAAGCATTACATGCAACAAAAAAGCGGACTAGCATGGGTGACCTTGGGCAAGTCACACTCTCTCAGCCCCTGGGAAGTTGACACCAGACCTCCTCTGAAGGAATCTTGCCAAGAAAACCCTATGAAAGGATTGTCATAATTCAGAGTTGACTCGAAATCACATAACAACAGCAGCAGCAACGACAACAAATGAATCTATATGCTGGATAGATATCCTTTCTCTCGACAGAATGAAATCCTGGATCCAATTGTCAGTAACTTAATACCTAGGGAAATCTTGTCACTTTCCGCAGGCTTCACAACTATCTTCCTCTCTGTGGAAATAGATAGCAAAGTGCATTTTGTAAGAAAAGAAAGCAAGATTGCTTTGTGCGCCTGTTGTGTGCATGCAGCAGGAGGGCCAGACTACTAATAAATTGATTTTTCTGATTGATAGCCATCCTTGAAATTTCACTGCTCCTTCCCATCTTTTTTAAAAAACAAAACCATCCTTCACAAAAACAGGGAACAGGAGGAAAAAAGAGATGAGGAGGCAACAGGCTAAATTTACACTGCTTGCCGGAGGGGGAAAATGGTGATTGGAAAGGTTTAAAAATACCTTTAAAAACCAAGTGCCTGAGCTAGAAGAATCGAATGCATTGCACTAATGGGAAATGGATTTCAAAAGATAGGAATTATTTATGGTGTTCTTGTTCTAAGTGAGAAAGAGGGAAGAAGGGAGTGAGGAATATTTTACAAAAGATCCATCCATCACTTTATTTATAATGCTTTCACCCCTTGAAATAAATTCCATTTTATATTTGGGAAGTGTGGCTGGGTTGATTCCAAAGGTAACTTCTTCTCTGAAGAACCATACAGCCATTAAACCAAGACCAGGATTCTTAGGACTTTTGCAAGGTTCTCATTAAGTTCCATGTTTCTGACCTTTGAGCAAGGAATAGTGTATTCCCAATCTAAAGGGAGAGATCCTTTAGGTCTGGAAATTCATCAAGCAACTAGATAGACTGGAGAGCACAAAGGTTCATTT